AAGTGTTGTTGGCAATAAAAGAGCTGACAGATAGTCTGGTTCTGCCTTAGTTGCAGATGGCTGGCTATGGGTCGTGCTGACATTGTGAATGCTCTTATAGAGATAGGACAAACAGAGGATTTTGACAGCGGCGTGTCCACATCACTACTAAGAATGCGAGAACAATGAGTAAAGACTGGCTTAGCGGACGTACAAGAAGTCTTGTTAACCAGCATGGGACTGGAACTATCAACCGCGGGATGTGTATGTTGAAGAGAAACCTGAGCACCTACAGACGTGCACAGAGTGCCCAGATAACCCGACTCATAACTCAGATTGCATGGTCCCTTTTTGCATCCTCCACTGACTGGGCAAGTTAGGATTTTGTTTCTGCTCTGGACAACAACAAAATAATCCATCACCTTACCCAGGATTCAAACTTGACTCACTCAGAAGGAGAGTGCAGCATTCTAAACCGCTCCTCTACCCCAACAACTTCTGGCTATTATATGGCTTTCACAAGGATTTTTACTTTCAAAAGTCTGCCAATGCTTTCTCAGTTGTTCGAAATCACAACAGAATGGTGTGCTACCTTACTGCCCATATGTGACTTCCAGAGTGTCAGGATTATAACACAGAACTGTACTGAACATTAAAAACATTTATTTATCAAATGCAGGCATATGTATATGTTTTTGTTTGAATTCCTTTTCATTCAAATTTTTCACATTTATATTTTAAGGGGCTGCGTTAGCGCAGTCAATTGGAGACTCACTTTCAAATCCAGCTGCAACTTGCTGCAGTCAACAGATAGTGTTCAAAACTGGACGGTTCCTTGGGTTCACTCAGCCTCTAGAAAATGGGTACCAGAGTTAACACTCTGGGGTAAATGGAGGAACTTCGCTGTAGCTACAGAGTTTCATGCGGACAGCGACACATGCGGACAGTTTCTTAACAGCTGTTCATACTAGTTGCAGAGCAGAGCACTTATAATTTTTGAACGGTGTGTAATGACACTGGTTCACATCTCCCGACTTTGCCCTTTTTTTTTTTTACATTTATATTTGCAGGAAATCAAATTACAATTACTGGGTTTTTTTCCTACCATTAAAGTTTATTTTTTGTTTTTAGCTTCCAAAATATAACATGGAAATGAGATGTCTGAGAAAGGCTATGACAGTGACAAGAAGAGATCAAATCAAGAATTAGATCATCAGAGAAGATTTCAGACTAGAACCAAAACTAAATGATACACAGAGATAGCAGATGAATGATTCTGCCCACTCTGACAGAATGCCTTGTGATGTCATACCAAACAAGGTATATATTAAAAAGAGGAGAATAATACAGAACCTGAGGCTGACCAAGAACAAGGTGAAAGAACATCAGAGAAACTACAGCAGTATCGTCTACGGTTAAGGCGACCAGAAGTACAAGAAACTGAACCTTGAACCTGAAGCTGTAAAAGAGGAAGTGAAGAAGAAATTAAATATTCTTATAACTTTCTTCATTTATAAAGACTTGTCTCACTTTGGTTATTTTCTGCATATCCTCTCTGAGATTGCAACATGAGACTCAGCAACTAAAAAGCCACTATTGGGGTGTAAATCCATTAACAACAAATCTTTATGCCCATTTCAACTGTGTAAAACAAGTATTTTCGGTTACAACAGTATGAAAATAATAATGAATCGGTACATGCATCAGTTAATGAATGTTTGTAGTTATTATCTATTTTTTTTTTTGCAGACCAAATGTAAAGGTTATAATCATATGGTGATCAGATAGTCAATCCTAGACTTCTGCTGGTAAAATGTACAGTGTACCAAAGGACAATTTATTGTGTGACTTTCAGCTGAAAACAGAAAAGAAAATTAGTAAGAGGAAGTAAAGAAGTTGAAAGATTTGTGTTAACCATGTTCATGTTAATGAGGTTTTACTATAGTTTTTAAGCAACTGTTTCTGTTGTTCTCAATGTCTGCAGACCAAATGTAAAAGATATAATAACATGGTGATCGCATGGTTAATCTTAGACTTCCGTGGTAAGATGTACAATGTACCAACAGACAAGGATTTGTGTATGACAGCTGAAATGATTAATGTTTTGTTCTTCATTCAATATTGATGTAAACTCTGAGGTAATTTATCCAACAAAATGCAGTGAAAAATAAACGGCAATAAATTGTTTGTGCACTCAATATTCAAATTCATAACAGAAAAACATTGTTTTGAATACAGCAACAACAAAACATGTGTTGCCCACCAGCGTGGATAGAAAGAGCATGAATAAAAAACAAAAAAACAATGGAGACTGTAAAAGATCTTATTTTCCAAAAAGCAAACTTTTGCTTGTAACGATCCAAACATTTGTTACTGAAAGTGGGACATGGCTGGTTCTGAACAAGTTCAAATGATAACATTACAGGAAAAAATTAGCTATAGTTACATCTGGGAAAATAATGAGTTAATGAATTGGCTTAATGAGTAATAAGAAGTTTTAAAAAAAGCACATCATATAATGAGTAGCCAGTGGATGCAGGGGAAACCAGCCGCACAATTCAATAAAGAGCAGATGAGATGGTTTGGTCATCTAACAAGAATACGTTGGTACCAGTTGCCACAGAGAGCCACACTGAAGATATATAATTAACAGAGCAAGGAAAGGACCATAAAACAGATGATACAAAGGCATCAAGAACAGTTTTAGAGATTTACATAGAAACCTAGACAATGTATTAGAAACAGCATACAACTGGTCAGTTCACCCACTCCCAACCCCTGCCCGCCTGCCCCAACATTTCGTTGAAGCAACTGACAGAGGAAAAGAAGAAGTTACTTGGTACTGACAGCAATAAAACAAGATAAAATGGCAATTAATGCAAAATAAAATGAGCAAAAAACCTTTCACACAGAAAACATCTGACCAGAGTTTTATGCCTAATCTAGCCAAACACTTTTCACACAGAAAACATCTGACCAGAGTTTTATGCCTTATCTAGCCAAAAACTTTTCACACAGAAAACATCTGACCAGAGTTTTATGCCTAATCTAGTCAAATTCACTTAGCTCAAATATAGAGTCATGAGAGATGGGAAATAACTGCAGCCAAATTTTTGGCAGAACTGCCAGGAATACAAGATACTTAAACAAATTTTAAGCATGTGGAAATATTTGGTATGGAATGTACATTCAAAACTGACAGTATATGTGATTTAGAAAAATTAGTCTTTTGGCATTTTATTTCCAGTGAGCTCTTTCTTAGTATATTTGAATACTAAGTAAAAAGCAAATAAAGAGCTGGCCAAAATTTAAATCACTGGCTGATTAGTGAAAGGTGTTTTTCTCATCATCACCATCATCATATATAGGTTAGTTGTGTATCCTTTACAGGAAGTTGCAGAACCAACCCCAACAGCCCCTGGCTGTTGTGTGGTTTTTCTAGGCAAATTTACGTCCAGTAGTTTGCCATTGCTTTTTGGACAGTCAGCTTTCTTGATACCACTGTCGAAACCAATGCAAGGTGCATGGCCCGCAGCTGGGATCGAACCCGGCATCCCGAAGCATTCGCACTGACTTAGCCACAGAGCCGACCACCATCATATAGTAGGTCCTTAATAAAACATTACTCTCATCATGACATGCCAGAAAAACAAATGGTCCCTTGCCAACTTTCCTGTCTCATGAGTTTTCATAACCAGGGTGTTCTTGATATCCTGTGTCCACCCTCATGCTGGTTAACCCCTGCGCTTCTACAAACCATACATTCCATTACTGTTCTCCCCAAACCATTATGGCAATTTAATATGGTTGACATATTTTAGCTGATGAAATGTAATACTGTTTATGAGTCTCTCTCAGAAATCAAAAAGAACTGTCAGAATTTCCTCTTCATGGTCCACAGTATTCTGAGAATCTTTCTGTAACATTTAAGTTCAAAAGCCATAATTTTGTTTGTTTATGTTTGCAAGAGTCTACGACTCACATTCCATATGCTGCCATAGGAAAGATACATGAAGGTGTGTATCTATTAAAGTTCAAAGGAAACAATCTTGCATGTGCAATGTTACTTCAAAATATTCAGTCAGAAGAATTTATCACACCACCATAACCCTTTCTTAGGCAGTCATAGTGATATAATGTCTAGATACTCGCCTACCGGCCAGGTCTTAGATTTAAATCCACTTCCGGTCTTGATTATTTTTCAAAACTGACCTTGGTTCACAGGTCGACCCTGCCTAAAATGGGCATCAGGAAATGGCCAGAGAAATAAAGGCGTCAGCATAATGCCGATCACATTACCAGAGTGCTTACTGGTCTATTAAAAATATGAGTCGGGCATCATATAGCCTGTTATGACAACAACAAAAAAGAGGGCCTTTTACTTGTCATTTACTCATAACCTTATCTGTGTGACAGACGACACTTTACATTGGATCACAGTGTGTAAAAGAAATCTGGCTTTTTCGGTAAACACCTCTGCTATGTTTTAAACTTCTCTGAAACTAGTGTTCTACATACAGTGATTATATTCTCACGGTCATTTGCAGCAAAACCTAGCAACAGAAGAATGAAACAGCTTTCTGCATCATTTCTGATGATGGGCGTCTACATGGCAGAGTGGTCAAGCTGTTTGACTCACACTCTGAAGGTCTTAGGTTCATTTCCCGGTGGTGTCGCTCATTTTACGAGTGTAATTTTTACAGGGATCACTTCTGGAGCTACGGAGATTGTGCTGTGTGTGGCATTCTTGGCAGACAGCTAGCTGTTCTGCAAAGAAAGACTGAGCCATATGTGATAAAACCTGGTGCAATGAAGTCGATCCTCTCACCTTTACCTTCTGACAATGCTAGAAAACAAGACAAGTATTAGGACTTTTCACTTTAACTAAAAATAAAGTTCAACTGAACAAAAAGATACACCAGATGACACAATGAAAGTAACATTATGTGACATGTTTCTATGTACAATGAAAAAATGGATATTGAAACTGCAAACAATGCAGATAACACAAGAGGAAGAACTCAGTATAAACTAGTCTTTTTCATAATTCTTAAGAATTCTTCCTGGTTTATCTCCCCATCTCCATCTCTGTCTGCCTCATCGATCATCTCCTGCAGAAAGGGGGAAAAACACAATGCAATAAATCAACAACACGCATAATAATTATGCCCTATCACCCCTAGAAGGCTACATCTAGTCACTTCCAGTTATGACACAGCCACATTAAAGATGACATATGGCAATTCCTGTTCTCAAAAAGTATAGTTGAATGCCAGTGGTTCTAATGTGCACTTCTGCACTGTTTCACAGGCCAGGATATAAACATAGCAACCACAATAAGCATTTGAGGGGGGGGAGAATCCTTATGACACCAGTGACTTTGTAAAAGCCAAGTTGATACCAAATGTTTCTGTAAGCCTCAGTGATTAAGTTCATGGCATGAGTCACCTGATTTAAATTTTTGTTAGGCCCCAGGGAATGTTTTCTATCTTATGCTTCATTCTGTTCATGTTTACTGATTACCCGTTTTATAACTCTTTATATTTGAAGAAAAAACAATTTAAAAAGTATTTAATTAAAATTTGAAAACATTTGTAAGTGACCAGCGCAAAAAAGATTTTTTTTAAATATTGTTCCTGAGAATTCATATTGGTTCATGACCCTATGTTTTTTTTAGCACTCATACAGTGAATGGGTTAGGAACATTATCACAAATAAACATATTATTATCCGCCAACAACAAAGGAGAATATCACTTCTGAAACAGAATGCAACATAAGAACTGTGGTAGCGCAGCCGCAAGATGGTTGCTTGCCAACCTGAAAGTCTCATGTTTAAATCCACATTAGGCATACTTTTTGTAATTGACCTAGACCTTCCAGGTTGATCTAGTCTAAAATGAGTAGTGGGAAATGTCCTGGGAAGTAAAGGCAGCCAGCAAGAGTGCCAGGTGGTCTGCAAACATTTAGATACAGAAACAAATGCCAATCACAGCAATGATGTGAACAAGGTTCTTTGACTTAAAGAAAATGATTTCATCTGTTCTCTGACTTTCAGTTTAATATGGTGACAGGACAGGCCAACTTTATCAGTTTTGGAAAGTTATTTACAGCCATGATTAGCTGCTGCATTTTCCTTGATATGTGGACCAAAAGTACATAATTCTGGTCACCTAGATACTGAGTTTATGCATAAGGCAACACCGTGAGCTCGTCATTTCATTAGCAGTGCTTTCTGACTGTGGCCAACGTTTCCGCATTGGGAACTGAAGTTTCAGAAAACTGCATCCAAATGCTGATCTGTTCTGAGTGCTTTTATCGAGGATGAACTCTAGTGGCGGAATGGTTACAGACTCCGAGTATTCAGCTCCCTTGTGTTTACAATTTTTACCTCTCTCTGTCATCTGACATTCTTTCAATATGCTCCAACAATTTCAGTATACTGACTAATAATCGGCACCAGGAAATATTCTGGAAAGTAAAGGTGACTGGCAAGATATTAATCATATCATTCATCAAGTGCATCTGGTCTTAAAAAATATGGGAGAACTGACAAATTCCCAAATTGCCTCAAGTCACGGCAAGTGATCCGTATTACTTCCTCATTCAAAACATCTGGGTCGCTCTTCTTAGCTGTCCAAGGAATTTTAAGGATTCTTCTGCAAATCCACATCTTTGAAACCTCGCGATATTGTTCAGCATGTTTAATAATTATCCAGAGGTGGTTCTATATAGCTTGCAAGAATTCTTTTCCTAACCTCTAATGACATGGACTTATTGCACAAAATGTTCTTCATTTTATAAAAAAAAAAGACAGCTCTGACCTGTCCTATTCTGTTCTTTATCTCTGTGATACATCTTCTATCACATGTTATCCACAGATATTTAAATTTCTGTACTTGTATTAAAATAATGACTTTGACTTTTATCATACATTTAGGCACAGTTACTTCTGTCTTCCCATTATTCAAACTGAGGTCCATTTTATCACTTTCTACCACCTCTCTCTCCCTTCCCCCCTCCCTCCCTCTGTGTGTGTGTGCGTGTGCGTGTGTGTATATATATATACCATTGGTAAACTAGTCTAGTTCCCCTTAGTACTCCAGCATTTATTTTTAAAAAAAAGGGGGAAAAAATATATATATATATATATATATATATATATATATTTTTTTTTTTTTTTTTTTTTTTTTTAAATAAATGCTGGAGTACTGAGGGAACTAGACTAGTTTACCAATGGGTTTCCACTGTGAATAGGCTAAGAAACTAGGTTTAAGAAAACACAGAACTGGTTAATTCGCACGAGGAGTGTGTGAAACAAGTGATCCGTGAGTCTACACTTATCATTTGAAATAGTAGTTATTATATTTATAATAGTTAGCCAACTAGTTATGACTCTCCAACTGCTTCTTGTTACTGTCCAGGTCGTGTGAGACTGGCCATCATGTCTGTCCATAGCCTTCTGTTTCAAGTACTACCAACCATTTCCGATACAGGTGTTGTTTTATATCTTTCTGTTTGATGTCCAACATTCTTTCTCTTGGTTTTCCCGACTTTCTTCACCGCCAGCTTTTCCACAGTCACAAACAACTCTAGTTCTTCCTTTCCTGTGACACCTATCTTCTAATGCGGGAAATCAATTTAATTTAAGTGGCCTTTTCAATCATAGCCTTTTCAATCATGCTCCCACTTTTTCAGTATTCAACTACAAGCACAGAGGAACAATTCAGTGTAAGCAGTTTAAGCGTTGCGAGTGTGCTTTTATAATTCTGAGGTGCCCAGTTTGATTCCAGCTGCAGGCAGTTTGCCAGCAGTTCGCTTTGCATTGATTTTGACAATGGCATCAAGATATGACAGTTCAGAAAGCAATGGCAAATAACTAATATGGCAAACTAACACTACGGCGCATGAAACTGACCAGTAAAACTCCAGTCAAACAACGCTGAGGTTGGTTCTGCAATGTCTACAGGAGCACACAAGTATTAAACTGGACTGTTGTTTCAGAGGCTGGCCCAAGTCATAAAACTAACCTGCAACTCTTCATCTGTCATGTTCTCGCCCAGCTCCTTGGCTACTCTCTTCAAGTTGCGGAAGGAAATCTTGCCAGTTTCATCATCATCAAACAGACGAAAAGCTTTGAGGATCTCCTCCCGGGAGTCCTTCTCACTCATCTTATGTGTCATCAAGGTCAGAAAATCATTGAAGTCTATGGTACCTGAAAAACATGGGGACACAGTGTCAAAACTTACAAAGGTGGAAAGCATTGACACAGGTGTTAGCATTGATACAGGTGTAAGCACTGATACAGGTTTTAGCACTGACAAGGGTGAAGACATTGATACAGGTGTTAAAATTCATACAGATGTTAACAATGATATGGGTGTTATCACTGATGCCGGTGTTAAGTATTGATACAGGAGATAACACTGTTACAGGTGTAAGCAATGATAAGTGCTAACAATGATACATGTGTTAAAAATGATAGAGGTGTAAAAACTGGTAAAAGGTGTTGGTATTGATAAAGGTTAAGTACTGATACATGTGTTAAAACTGATACATGTGTTAAAACTGATACATGTGTTAACACCGATACAGGTGTAAACAATACCGTGGATAAACTGATTACATAAACATAAATACTAAAATGAACCAACTTAGAAAAACAAGAGACCTAAAGCAGAATTAAAGATAGAGAACAATAATACAGTAGGACATTGTCAGATGCAAGAGATTACAAGGTAGATGAGTAAGTTGGCTGAAGACCTATACTTAAATGAGGGATAAAAACCAGAAGAAGAAATCAAGTGTTCCTGAAAAAGAATCCTATGAGGCATTAGTGTTTAATGTTCTGCTACATTTATTACTTGATGCTGACCACATTACCCACCAAGTGCTGACCACATTACCAAAAAAGTACTGACCACATCACCCACCAAGTACTGACCACATTACCCACCAAGTGCTGACCACATTACCCACCATGTACTGACCACATGACCCACCAAGTGCTGACCACATTACCCACCACGTACTGACCACATTACCCACCAAGTACTGACCACATTACCCACCAAGTGCTGACCACATTACCCACCAAGTGCTGACCACATTACCCACCTAGTGTTGACCACATTACCCACCAAGTGCTGACCACATCACCCACCAAGTACTGACCACATCACCCACAACAAGCTGACCACATCACCCACCATGTGCTGACCACATCACCCACCAAGTGCTGACCACATCACCCACCAAGTGCTGACCACATCACCCACCAAGTGCTGACCACGTCAACCACCAAGTGCTGACCACATGACCCACCAAGTACTGACCACATCACCCACCAAGTGCTGACCACATGACCCACCAAGTACTGACCACATCACCCACCAAGTGCTGACCACATGACCCACCAAGTACTGACCACATCACCCACCAAGTGCTGACCACATGACCCACCAAGTGCTGACCACATGACCCACCAAGTACTGACCACATCACCCACCAAGTGCTGACCACATCACCCACCAAGTGCTGACCACATCACCCACCAAGTGCTGACCACATCACCCACCAAGTGCTGACCACATCACCCACCAAGTGCTGACCACGTCAACCACCAAGTGCTGACCACATGACCCACCAAGTACTGACCACATGACCCACCAAGTGCTGACCACATGACCCACCAAGTACTGACCACATCACCCACCAAGTGCTGACCACATGACCCACCAAGTACTGACCACATCACCCACCAAGTGCTGACCACATGACCCACCAAGTGCTGACCACATGACCCACTAAGTGCTGACCACATCACCCACCAAGTGCTGACCACATCACCCACCAAGTGCTGACCACATCACCCACCAAGTGCTGACCACATCACCCACCAAGTGCTGACCACATCACCTACCAAGTGCTGACCACATCACCCACCAAGTGCTGACCACGTCACCCACCAAGTACTGACCACATGACCCACCAAGTACTGACCACATCACCCACCAAGTGCTGACCACATGACCCACCAAGTACTGACCACATCACCCACCAAGTGCTGACCACATCACCCACCAAGTACTTACCACATCACCCACCAAGTGCTGACCACATCACCCACCAAGTGCTGACCACATCACCCACCAAGTGCTGACCACATCACCCACCAAGTGACCACATCACCCACCAAGTGCCGATTGGTCTATAAAATATATAGGTCTAGCTATATATTCTCAATACACCTAAAGGCCTGGAAAAGGGACCTTTACATTTACTACTCCCACCAGACCCAGGGACCTTTACATTTATTACTCCCACCAGACCCAGGGACCTTTACATTTATTACTCCCACCAGACCCAGGGACCTTTACATTTATTACTCCCACCAGAGCCAGGGACCTTTACATTTATTACTCCCACCAGACCCAGGGACCTTTACATTTATTACTCCCACCAGAGCCAGGGACCTTTACATTTATTACTCCCACCAGAGCCAGGGACCTTTACATTTATTACTCCCACCAGACCCAGGGACCTTTACATTTATTACTCCCACCAGACCCAGGGACCTTTACATTTATTACTCCCACCAGACCCAGGGACCTTTACATTTACTACTCCCACCAGACCCGGATTAAATGTCCTTACCCCCACGGGGGATGTAAGTTACATAGGGCTGGATGATGTACCATTATTGGTGCCCTAATTACAAATTCCTTAGAGTCTGAACAGGGGTAACTGGGATCTGCTCCGCTGGTCTACCTTCCAGACTGAGAATTTGTTGTGTGTTTATCTAAAGGTGGTAAACCTTCAGGTAACATACCGATGGGAACAAACTGATTGATCGATAGAACATTACAGTTGTTAAATCCTTGCTTTTTGTCACAAAATCAAAGTGGGTAACATGGGTAGAACACATAGTGTCAATGGATCACTAACAAAACAAAAACTTTTATTCTTTTCATTGTTTTTCGATGAGAAGGCCGCAGACTTCTGTGTATGAAGGTTGGGGTGTGACACATGCCTCCACTGATCAATACAGTTTGGTTTCCACAAGAATTCTAACTCACCAGACCTCAAACCTCTTGTTTCCACAAAAATTCTAACCCACCAGACCTGGAACCTCTGTTTTCACAAGAATTATAATTCACCAGACCTGGAACCTCTCCACTACACACAGAGAGCATGTATGAAGCACATGTTTAGTAATGTGTGGTGCCTCTCCACACAAGCAAAGTATCTTGTAAAAAAAAAACACATTCAAAATGTGGGAACTAAGACAGTGAGACAGCCTAAGTGTTTGCTTACTGGTCCCATCTCCGAATCTCCATCAAGGCAGATTAAAGCTCCTAAGTCTTCTTCTTCATCTTCTCTTTTACTGCTTCAGGTATCGAAGGAGATACACTTCTTGCTCCTTTGGACGTCTCAACCACAAACACACTGTGCTGCTGTAGAGTTTCTCTGATGTTATCTTTCCGTCTTGTTCTTGGTCTACATTGTGCTCTACGACCTTCTGTATGCTTTGTATGGTATGGCATCACAAGGCATTCTATCCAAGTGGGAAAACTACTTGATTTACTTACTGTCTATGTATGTAATTGAGTATTGGTTTTTTTTCTCTTATGATGACCTCATGTATGATTTTGCTGCTAGGTCGACCCAGCCTAAAAGAAGCCCACTAATATGTTTTAGCAAATAAAGGTGCCCAATATGATACTGACCATATCACATTTAGAAGTCAAGGTGGTCAGTGTAACCATATTCCCCGTGTGGGTTCCAAGGCACCATTGTGGGGAAAACAAGAGTAGACCCCCTGCTTCCCCCCCCCCCCAAAAAAAATGTATGTTGTAATAGTTGACTAGTTGCAGACTTCCTTTGAAATTAAAGTGCACCTGCCAGAAGGGTAGGAACCAACAGTCTGCATACATATAAGTGAGATGTGTAAAATGGATGGGCATGCAGCACTAAGGTTCTGGAACAAGACCACAGCCTAGAGGTGGACAAACAACCAGAACTTTATACCAGAGCAGAGCTGGTGAACAGAGAGAAGATATTGACCATATCACACCTAGAAGCAGAGCTGGTGAACAGAAAGAATATATTGACCATATCACACCTGGAAGCAGAGCTGGTGAACAGAAAGAAGATATTGACCGTATCACACCTGGAAGCAGAGCTGGTGAACAGAAAGAAGATATTGACCGTATCACACCTGGAAGCAGAGCTGGTAAACAGAAAGAATATATTGACCATATTACACCTGGAAGCAGAGCTGGTAAACAGAGAGAAGATATTGACCGTATCACACCTGGAAGCAGAGCTGGTAAACAGAAAGAAGATATTGACCATATCACATCTGAAAGCAGAGCTGGTAAACAGAGAGAAGATATTGACCATATCACACCTGAAAGCAGAGCTGGTAAACAGAGAGAAGATATTGACCATATCACACCTGAAAGCAGAGCTAATGAACAGAAAGAAGATATTGACCATATCACACCTGAAAGCAGAGCTGGTAAACAGAAGATATTGACCATATCACACCTGAAAGCAGAGCTGGTAAAAAGAGAGAAGATATTGACCATATCACACCTGAAAGCAGAGCTGGTAAACAGAAAGAAGATATTGACCATACCAAACCTGAAAGCAGAGCTGACCATTAATGTCAGTTGAATGAGTACATGCTAATGGAATACGGTCAATTACATTGCAAGTTCACAAGAATATGGGTGAATGGACAAGAGGTCAGTAAATGTTGAACAACTAGGTGAAGCTCACAAAGCAAATGTTAAGTGGAATTCTCAGGTACAGAAAATGTCTGCTGCTGTTTCTCCAGTCCCATTTTGCCTTTCAGCCACAGGTTCTGAAGATGCTTCAGGTGTGAGCCTTGATATGTGCTACATAGGTGCTGGTATTCATGGCCTCAGATATTCCACCAATCCATCGCCGGTGTGGTTTAGCTTTAGCTCTGCTTCTATTGTGTCTAAGTGACAGGGCTTTCTGTGGTGTACTATCCTGTGGTAGTCTTGATACATGTCCTATCTCATTTGATCTGTTGTCTTCTGACATAGTTTAGTAATGGTTCTGTCCCAGCTTGTTTCCTGGTATAGTCATTTCTAATCCTATCTCTTTTAGTTACATTTAAGATTCATCCTATTCATTTCATTTCTGTTGCTTCATTTTTTTTTTCTCTAGAAAACTGTGACACCAAAAAGTATTTAGCGGGAATTGTTTTCCACAGGCATGGAACAACCATGCTCAAAATTGTGGAAAACACTTTCCCACTCAACATACTGCCTGTGTTATAAACAGTCTATATAAAGAGTGGGCCAGCCCCAAAAGCCACTATATCTCAGAGGATGAAAAAACAGCTCAACACTTTCCTTTCATAGTACACCAAGACAAATCAAGATATTTTACCTGTTGACTCTTTATCTATCTCTGCTATCAACTTTTTAATTTCCTCCTTCTTTGGTTCAAATCCTAGTGCCCTCATGGCAACCTACAAAAGTGAAAGTTAAAAAGTTAGCAACAATGCAAATGTGATATTCCCACATCAATTCATGACAATATTCAGGTAAATTTGCGTGTTGCTTTTAGTGTTTTATTTTCAAGTGGCAGGCCTCTTTTCCACCAGTGTCCTATAGTGTCTCAAAAGCTGAGATATTTAGGCCATATTAACCGTCAGTCACCTGGACAAAATGATGATGGCTGGTAAGTTTCCGGGAAAATGAAGCAGAGGCTGACCTCTGTGAAGATTGGTACACGACGCTGAAGACACATTTGCTATGAAAGGACATAGGGTTGGAGAAATGGTTGGAGACAGAGAGATGTTCAGGTTTGCCGTGACGAGAACAAAGTTCTATATAGAACCTGCTGATTGATGATGATGAGGCCTCATCTTCTGTAGGACCACAGAGATAGGTCGCTGGGCAAGTGCCTAAGAGCAATGCTGGTGACTATACAGTGACAATCTCTGTCAGTTTCTGCACCTGGAAGATGAGGCAGGTCCTGCAGCAAGCGACTGTGTTAATCATACGTACATAATAACCTATACTGAAGTGTTCGTCACAGTGTCACAACTGCATTATACACCTCTTGTCCTTTGTTTCTTGAATCAGACTGCACACAAAGAGCACCAGTCCATTTCACAAATCTCTTCTCTGGGAATGTCTCTCACCTGAGACTTTCTCTTGTGTTTCTGTATCTATGCCAAGGGTTTTTTATACTGTGTTTACAGACACAGAAAACATTATATCGCAATTGAGGTCTTCCAGTTGGCCTCTTTCCTTTATTTGATACACATCCCAAACCCTTGTTGTTGTTTTTTTCACTGCTGCACAATAAATAAAGTCAGGGGGTCTCTCTGGCGAAGTGATCGAGCCATTTACTTCTAGGTCTGAAAGTTGTAGGTTCATATCATGGATGTGTCCTTAAGTTCACGAGCCCAAATCTGAGGGAGATTTATGGGGACTGAGGCTGTAGCTGTGGAGCTTGTGCTTGGTGTGATGCTCTCAGTGGGCGGATAGTCATTCTACGGAGAGACTGAGCCAGATGGGATAATCAATGAGTAATGAAACTGATCCTCTTGACTTTAATTGTGAACTTTGACTTTATGATTTAAGTCACAGATTCAAGTGTAGCAGTTTAAAAAAAAAGAGATTTGGTTGTGTATACAGTTCAGCAGTCTATACAAAAATATATAATCTATGTCAATACATCATTAGTACCAAACTCTGTACTGGCTGCTGAAGATAGGGATATAGCACTTATGAGAATGTCCTGGGTGCTGTGATGTCAGTTCTTATTACACAGTTGAAAGACCGCCCATCAATCCATGCCTAAAAAGTCTCCGTACATCTGTGACCATAGTGACTGCCCACAAACTCTTGGAAACCTTATGAGTAGTTTCCCCTTGCCTTATATGTGGAAGTCAGCTGGTAGAAGAATTGTTCTCTGTAACACTTATTCAGGAGTTCATTCTTGCCACTGTTATAGTTCTTGTTAAACTGTTGAGATTCTGTAATCTATGGAAGGAGAGTGAGCCCTCAAGGGGGTAACTATCTGCAATGATGGTGTTTTTATAGACAAAAACAAAGAAGTGATCCAAGCATGAGGAGAAGTGTGTGTTGAATGGTTAAGTAGAATTGTTAATATAGCTTAAGAAGAAAGAAAAGTCCCAGCTGACTGGCAACAAGCACTAATAGTACTGTAATGGAAAAAGAAAGGTAATAAGAGAGAATGTAAAGCATACAGAGGTATATCACAACTGAATCATGTAAGGTACACCAAACTACTAGAACACGGAGTTAAGACCCATAGCTGAACAACAGTTGAGTGCATTCAAATTCAGTTTCAGAAAAGGCAGAAGATGCACAGATGCATTATGCACACTGAGATAAGTGTGTGAGAAAACCATTAAGTATAATATCTAACAGAATATTTTGTTTGTAGATTAGGAAAAGGCTTTTGATAGAGTGGACAGAAACAAACTATGGTCTGTTCTTGAGAACTACGGTTACAAGGACAACTGCTAGAGAACACCACAGCCATGTACCACACAAGCCAAAGTGCAGTAAGAAAACACAAAGGCATATCAGATATGTTCACAGTCAACACAGCTGTGAGACAGGGATGTGTGCTCCCCCCTCCCCCCCCCTTCATTTTTTTAAACATTTATATAGACAGAATTTCTAAAGATGCAAGTTCTAATATAGACAACACAGATCATTACAATCATGAGGATGTATGTGAATCAGACAAAGTAATGATACACCCCCAACAAATGAACTACTATTTGTTGATGACAAGTGCTTGTTCTACAGTGAAGAAGATAGACTGCAAGACCACATTAACAGGTTAAACTCAGCATCCAGTAAATACAAAATGAAGATCAATGCTAACAAAACTGAAACAATGCAGATTATTCCTGGTCCACTACACATACAGCCAAATGGTTTGTGGTCTGAATCAAGTTCAGGAAATTAATTATCTAGGATGCATAATCACGGAAGATGGTAGAATTGACTGAGAAACAGCAAACAGAAATCAGAAAGCAAGTGCACTTACATACCAACTGTCACCATTATTAACCCTTTCGCTGCTATGGACGTCTTTTCCCGATTTCCCGTTATTTTTTTTCTTGACCCCCAGTGCTATGGACGTCCTAAGCCGTTTTTGGAATTTTCTTACAGATTTCTGTTACCTAGTATTTTATTGGCTGAAGGGCAATATACATTAGCTATATTTAGATTAAACTGACCCATTTACATATGATTAAAAGCACTGGCACGTACTTTTAGGTGTGTTTAAGTCGTGTTTTCTGCATTCTGCGTTATCCCGTTGCTTTGTTTACCGTGACAGCGTGGTCGGTGATCTGTGTATTTTGTGCCCTGATATATATTTGTGCTTTTGGATTATTCTACACTTAGTATAAAATGGCAAGAAAACTTGTTAAAGTTGATGAAGAATTGATGGAGTTTCTGTCAAAAGTGATAGCGACGATGACTTTGAAATGTGTACTTCTGACAGTGAACAAGAAGATTTGACTAGGCCATCAGTATCGACTGCTGAAACCGGCTTGTCTAAAAAAAGCTGTTTGCCTGTCCGACGTCCTCATCGTCGGAATCAGAGAGCAGCGACAATGAAGCGCCATCAAAACGGCAATAAATTGATCAGTTATCTTGATGAACCGATGATTTGAAACCAGTAGTGCATGATTTTGATGACTCCAGCTTTATCTGTATTTCTGCTACTGTAAATTCAAACAGTTAAGTCACTAAAATTTCTCGTCTTTCCCGATGGACAGACACAGATTCGGACGAACTAATTTTTTTTGTCTGTCTGCTAATGCTTAGAACAAAGAAACTCAAAATAGAGTACTTGAGCAAAGACTGTTTGCTAAAAACTAAGGTAAAATAATGTCGAGGGACATATTTTTACTATTGTTGAGAATCTCAAACATTTCTTAGACAACAGTGCTCATGCAGGCGGCGATAGACTACAAACTTAGACACATTATTGATAGTCTGCGCACATTCATTATGATCATTTACACACGCAAACCAAGCGGTAGCATAGTGTAATTGGTATGACTTCGCCTTAGAATAAAGACTGTGTTCACAAAGCTTTTTTTGTTGTAAATTTTCCTTTGAGTTCCTGCTACTTTTCAGCAACGGAAAACTTGAGTATATTATTATGAATATTTTTTTTTTATTATTTTGATGTAATAACATGGTGACTACAAGTAAATATTTAAAGTGGCAGCCGTGGTAGGTTCCAATCAAATTTTGGATACGGACTAGGAGATGATTAATCCCCCCCCCCCCCAGAAGGGTGTCAGTCAAGTTTTGGGGCAGCGTGCCTCTGACTTGCACCACTACCTACCACAATAGGAAAAGGTGAACATAAAAGCCCTCACTAGATCTTTTGCGTTTAGAGGATAAAAAGTAATTGAGCACAAACCTTTTTTTTTTCACATTGCTTTACAGGGAGGACAACTACCAAACAAAAGGAAAATTCAAACATAAAATAAGACAAGACAAATATTAACAGTATTTTCATTCCAACATTAGAACCAGTGCCAGACAAACCTATCTAATGGCTTGTAGCAATACCACTTGCGAGAACAGATGCCAGAGAAAAACATAAAACAAAGACGAGAATAATGAATGAGACTAATCAGGTTTTCTCCCACATGGCTCAGTCTTTCTTTGCAGTGCAGCAAGCAACCTATCAAGAATGTCACACAAAGTATGAACTCCACAGCTTTCAAAATAAAACAAGAAAATCATGAAAGACCAGACTGCCACAAAATCTGAGCTATTTAGCATTTTTTTTAAACAGGAAACATTTTAAAAACTAGAGATAAGACTGTCACAAACCCTCAGCTTTTTAGCACAGGAAACCCCAGGAAAACAAGAAAGATTAGAGATAAGACTGTCAGAAACCCTTAGCTTTTTAGCACAGGAAACTCCAGGAAAACATGAAAGATTAGAGATAAGACTGTCACAAACCCTTATCTTTTTAGCACAGGAAACTCCAGGAAAACATAAAAGATTAGAGATAAGACTGTCACAAACCCTTAGCTTTTTAGCACAGGAAACCCCAGGAAAACATGAAAGATTAGAGATAAGACTGTCAAATTTTTAGCACAGGAAACCCCAGGAAAACATGAGATCAAGATACACACTGTCACAAACCCTTAGCTTTTTACACAGTTAACTCCAGGAAAACATGAAAGATAGAGATAAGACTGTCACAAACCCTTAGCTTTTAGCACAGAAAACCCCATTTGAAAGATTAGAGATAAGACTGTCACAAACCCTTAGCTTTTTAGCACAGGAAACCCCAGGAAAACATGAAAGATTAGAGATAAGACTGTCACAAACCCTTAGCTTTTTAGCACAGAAACTCCCAGGAAAACATGAAAGATTAGAGATAAGACTGTCACAAACCCTCAGCTTTTTAGCACAGGAAACCCCAGGAAAACATAAAAGATTAGAGGTAAGACTGCCTCAAACTTTCAGCTCTTTCGCATACCAAACCTCAAGAAAGACTAGAGATAAAGACTGCCACAAATTTTCTGCTTTTTAGCATAACAAACAAAAGGAAAATTAAGAAAGACTAGAGATAGCTGTCACAAACTTTCAACTCTTCAGCACAGGAAACCCCAGGAAATTCATGGAAGACTAGAGGTGAGACTGTCACAAATGTTCAGCTCTTTAGCATATCAAAACAGGAAAACATAAAAGACTAGAGATAAGAATGAGACAAACCTTCAGCTCTTTAGCATCTATTGTTCCCCGAGCCATCTGCATCAAAGAGGTCAAAGGCCTCTTTAATCTCCTGCTTCTGTTCCTCGGTTAACTCTGGTTTTGGGCCAGTTTTCTTGCGGCCCCCACCTGTTAATGTTGTCTTTTTGAAAGTAGACTATGACAAAGATAATAACAAAATTAACAACTTAACATTCAAGAGAAGATACACACTTTTTAGATGTTTCACTCGTTATGTCATTTAATTATAAAGTACCCTTTTCGTATACCAGAAGACATTTAAATTAATTATAAATAAGTGCAAGATGTGTTCCTTGGTACTCAAAGAGCTGTTATGTTTACAATTTTTTTTAAATGTTAAAAGGAACATTAAAATTACAAATTAAATATAAACTGAATGGTTTCATTGGTAATTACGATCAATGATTATCGTCTTACACCGAGACTACTATATTACGGTGATTATATATGAGTCATATTATAACTGTCACTGTCTATCAGACTCATCATCATCATGTAGCAGGTCCTTTGCAGAACGTCGCTCTCATGCCTGAAAGAAACTCGGTTTCTTGCCAGGTCTCACACTCAAGGAGTCATTTATATCCTGTGCCCATCTTCGTGTCGGCCGGCCCCTGCCCCTCCTTCCTGGTACCATGCCTTCTGCTATAATTTTTTCCAATCCGTTGTTGCGCTTGATATGACCAAAATATTTCAGCTTTTGAGAAAGGATGCTGTTTATTAGCCAGTCTTCCTTGATGTTCAGATCTTTCAAGATGTCAGTATTTCTCCTCTTCTTTATCCAAGATATTCTGATAATCTTTCTATAGCATTTCAGCTATCAGACTACGCCTTATAAATAATCAACATATTTACAAGGATTCGTGCTCATTATGTCATTATTAGTGACACAAGAGTCAGTACAATTTTCCTTTAATGGGTGGAACAGGAAAAATTACGCCCAACAAAGTCAGATTAAGAAGGAAACCTCAGATCGCTTAGATCAGAGCGTTAATTTTAATATAAAATAAACATAATGTCTAATTGTGTAATGACCACAATTTGATGAATTTGATGATCTCATTTGCATTGGGCTGGGGTTTGCTACAAATACATCCCTATGTGCCTGTCTTTACTCTGGGGTATACGCGACATATTTACAAGAAGTATTCACATTAGTGATACACAATTTAGTAAAATCTCCTCTAGATTAGTAAAATATTAGAACTTACCATGTCAAGAAAGAGATAAATATAAAAAAAAGCGGTGATAATTTCGGCGAGCTGTGGCTTGTTTGTTGATCTTCGAGACCGGTATCAGAACGAGGCGCGGTTGTGTTCAAATCTTGGATCGGCGCTGGGCAGGAGAGGAACGAGTTTAAAACCTGAACTTAAGCTAACTACATAACTATATCCATCAATCTGGTGCCGTCTCCACACTGCGGGGTTGCCTCTAATATGCTTTATTTTTTTTTGCCCTGGGTATAGAATATTTGAGACTTAATGTTATCAACCCACTTGTACTGCTGACTGCCTCTTGCTCGCCTGACTTTCACCTTTTTTCGCTGTTTTGGCAAATTTCACTTACCCCCGTCTCTCTCTCTCTCTCTCTCTCTCTCTCTCTCTCTCTCTCTCTCTCTCTCTCTCTCTCTCTCTCTCGGATTCTCTATCTCTTTATTCCATGTAGCAAACCTTTTTTTTTCTTCCTAGTGTCTTTATCATCATCAAGTGCCTTGGCAGCTAGCGTAGGTGTTTATACGTCACCACAGATCTCGGTCTTTGGTGTTCTGAATCACTTCAGCAGATAATATTCCTCCATGCCACAGTCTTTAGCCATCAACCATACTTCTTTTGGTCTGCCTCTGTCTCTTCTACCAGTGATCTTTCCAGTCGTCGTAATATTTACCAGTGCTCCTTTTCTCATAATATGACCAAAGAACTTTGTTTGAGTCTCCCCATAAGCTTTGTATTTGATTGTTTCGTGTCTATGAAATACGACTTATTTTTCTATATATCCACATCTTCGACTTTCTAAAAACTGTTCGTTTAGGTCTCTTCACCATACAGTAGCGCTGAGTATATGTACGTTTGACAATTCTCATTTTCAATTAATTGCTTATTTTTCTATGAATCAATAACGTTGCCATGTTGTTTATTTTTTTTTTAAATCTCTATCTTTCAAGGCAGGCCAATATAACAGACTAACAAGTCAGATCTAAGATTTAAAAGGAAAAGGTAAAATCGGGAGATGTGAACCAGCGTCATTGCACACGGTTATAAACCATAAGTGCTCTGCAGCTAGTACGGACCGCTGATAAGAATTGTCCGCCTGTGTCGCCGTTCACACGTAACTCTGTAGCTACAGCAACGTTCCTCCATTTACCCCAGAGTGTCAACACTGGTACCCATTTCCTAGAGGCTGGGTGAACCCCTGGAACCTCCCGATTTCGAACGCCGACCGTGGGTTGCAGCGAGTCGCAGCTGGATTTGAAAGCGAGTCTCCTATCGACTGGCACCCAATTTAAGATACCTCGTTCAACCTGCAAAGTCATAATTAGTGCCAGGAAGTTTTTTTTTTTTTTTTTTTTAACCAAATAATAAAATTGACGGTACTTACAACAAATCGTCTTTAAAAAAGGCCCCGGTAATTTTCACAAAGTGTTTAGTAAGTACAGTTGAAAAAAAAATGAATCCCTAGAAAAAAGGTGTTGGTACTGCCAGAAAAAAATACCTTTTTGAGGCAACCAAAGGGCGACACCAAGCTGACTTAACCTGCAACCTGATGGGGGATTGGGGAGAAGGGTGGGGGTGAGAATGAGATTAATAATTAACAATTTATTTTTTAATCTCATTTTAGTATGTCCTAAACTAGGAGCTGGTTTAAAGCTAAGGGTTTGTGTCAATTATACAGTCTCGATAAAGAATTGAACCTAAGACCTTCAGGCCAACAGGCGAACGTCTAGCCACCTTGATATCTAGGCTCCAGACTCTTCAAGATACTGCGGCACGTAAGAGAATCAATTCTTCAGGAGAGACAAATACGTAATACAGCAAACTAATATAAATTGTCCAGTTGTTTCCCTTTTTAGTAACATTAAAAACTTGTGTAACTGACTGACTTTCTACCCCACCATGTGGATGAGGATCACCGTGGAGAGGTCCCAGAAACCGCGTTCAGCCATTAGGCTATATTGCGGCCCCTTGAAAAAGCCAGAGTAGGGCTTCAAATAACGAAACATTTCATCCTAAAAAGGACGTGAAGTGATATTAATATGTAACTTGTGTAATCCTCTATTTTGTTGTTTATTCAATCCTCAAGTCAGCTTTGATGTGGTCACGACGTAATAAATGTGGACCGCACCCACTGAGCGTCAATTAGTTTGTATGAAATTTAAGACAGACTCCAAATTTCCGATTCGCAATGCTATGCACGAGCCGACGTAGTGTAGTGGGTAGAGCCTCGCCTGTGAATTTCAAGGAAAGATATCAAACCGAACGAAAAGTATATCAGCGAGCTTCTCTATCTAACAAACACAAACAAAACGTTAACGTTGCCTGCTGTACAAACGTACATATACAGAGGCAGGCATACAAAGGATATCAGAGACTGTTACACGGAGGATTCTAAATGCAAGCAAGATCAGCATGATTGACTTCAAGAAGTGGACAGTGAATGCGTTTGGCTACATCAGAGAAGATACTGCCAATGTTGTGATAAGTGGTTGGTGGTAATAGAAAGCTGCTATAGAAAAGTGCGCCAAAAGGGAATATTTCAGAAAGAGTTCTATAGTTTGTGAACAGAGCTCATCGCTCCAACAATGTATTCTGCAAAAAACCGATGGATGCATTCATACACATCTCAGTCCGTAGGGCTCTTGTGATGATTTTAATTAAATTATAACATCAGTAATATAAATATTAATAATAATTAACATCCCACACATAAGTAAGTAGAGTGAAGGACCCTTTTCCACAACTTTAGACGCATAGGGCATATAGGGCTAGACCTATATTTTTATAGACCAATCGGCACAAGATCGGTTATGTGGTCAGCGTCACACCGACCGCTTTTACTTCCCCGGACTGCACCCGGTACCCACTCAAGGCTGGGTCGACCTGGGAGCCAAGGTCATTTTTGAAAATTAGTTCGGCTCCGCCAGGGAGCAAACCCACATCTTCCGATCCGTGGCTAGCGTCTAGCCACTCGGCCACTCCCAGCCCACACGTACACACACAATAATATTCAACCCCTTGATTACAAATCGTACGCCTGGCAAGCGCGCCCAGCACCAAACTCATCTACGACGTGCTGAATCCTCACACTCTCTTACTGGCCGATCGCCACTACTTTGCCCTTTCCCTTCACACTTCCTCATTTTTAACACTAAAGACATCTGAAGCCCTCTCTACCCCCCAATTTTCTAGATTCTGGATTTCAGTCAAGAAAGTAAAAAAAAAAAAAATGACAACAAAGCTGGCTTTCTTCAGTCTTAAGAAAGAGACACCAATTTTTGGCTAAGCCGGCCGAATCGTTCAGACGTCAAGTGAAAATCTTCTCGAGAGATGGTTGGTTTCTTCCATTTCCGCTCACGTTCACAGGTCGCCAGCGAGTTAACAGTTTTGTCTACAAAGTTTTCCTGAAAGATTTCTCCGCTGATCCTCTTTGACATTTCCACGTGCGGAGGCAAGTATTTGGTTTTGTTTATGGTATTTTAAAAGTGCGTGATAATTAAAATAAAACAAAATATTTAAAAACTATTTTAAGTGTTTATCACGATGACTCTGTGTAATGATTCCTAATTTATGGTCAGCAGATCCATGCGGTCAATGGAACAAATATAAGAGGTCCGTAATATCATTTACAAAACAACTCGATAAAAAAAAGTTAAAAACAAATATTTAAAGCCAGTGTTTAACATACGTTTAATTTACAAATATTACAATCGCTAAAAAAAACCGTACATTTAATGCAGTCTTTTGTGGTTGGGGGGGGGGGGGCGATTCTAATTTTTATAAATTATAATACATTTTACCTTATGCATATTATAC